TTCATATATATGCTATGTTGGTGACCAAAATTGATATGATTTTAAATTGATATTTATTTTCTTTTGTAGACAAACCAATGATGATTTCTAGACACAGATTTTATGTGATAAATGTCAAGAATTAAAAAAATATAATGTTCAGGATACTCATTGTATCATGCTTAAACAGCTTCAATTTTATAAGAATAAGATTCAAAGAATTTTTTTTAAAATACTGAAATATCAATCAGTATAAATAAATCACAGTACCAAGAATGTTTGGTAAACATTATTTTGACAGCAACCACAAAGCCAAAAAAAGGTACACAGACGTATATTAAGTCTATAAAACAAAAATCAAGAACAACATTGTTGTCAGACATGTCAGAGCATTAAGATTTGTATTAACAAATTAAAAATCATATAAACAATTAAACAGTTAGTTTTCTCGTTTGAATTCACATTTTTTTATGTCACGCCCTTTTATAGTTGACTATACGGTATGGAGTTTATCAATATTGAAGGCCGTGCAGTGACTATATTTGCTTATATCCACGTCATTTTAATTCAGGTGGGTTGTTGCCTTTCTAACAATCATACCATATCTCCTTATTTTTATATAAAGGTTCACAAGAGAAGATATTGTTCTTGTGAAGCTGTCCTTTTTGCATACTAATACATGGTGGATATTAAAATTATAGTAGAAATGATGGAGATCTGAAACAATAAATCAGTTAACAATCATAAGGATATTCCTCTAGAGAAGTAGAATACACTTTTGAGTTGTTGGTTTTTTTACAAGTTACCATGTAGTATGGGATAAATCCTATTCCATCTTCTCCATGTATGCATTCAAAGAGTGATGGGTTTCATGAATGACTGGTTAAGTTCCGTATTTCCTCTATGGACACGGGGTAACACTGGCACAGTGGTATTGTGTGAAGGTTGGTTCATAAATTTGTTCTTCCCAAAAGAATTAGGCGATACCATTCTGTCGTTTGCAGTTTATTTTTTAAATGAAAATTGATTTGGCTCATTGTGTGATCTCACTGATCTGCAAGTAATAGCTGTTGAGGAAATTATTTTACATTTCAGTCTTAGTATTTGTATTGGTTTTCTTTACATAGAAGTAACTTGATGTGTGTTTTTGTAAGGTAAGTGTATCCTGAGACTGCTATTACACATATAGTAGTCTCAGGTGTATCAGATATCTGAAAGAATATATAACAAGGACAGCATAAACTATAACACAAGTTTCAGAAATGAGAAAAATGGACCAAAAAATAAAGAATAGAGACTAAAGGTGTGCTACAATGTGAAAAATAGAGAAAAGTGGTGTGCTATAATATGAACAATAGAGAATAATGGTGTTTTATAGTATGGAGATAAGAGAATACCGTGGTGTGCTAGAATATAAGAAGACTGGTTGCTTGGTTATCGTCTAGTGGTAAATATATTGCATACATGTTCAGGACAAACAGAAATTAACAATAAATATAACAAGTATAGAAAAGAAGATGTGGTATGATTGCCAATGAGAAAACTCTCCACAAGAGACCAAATGACACAGAAATTAACAGCTATAGGTCAGGGGCGGATCCAGTCATTTATAAAAAGGGAGGGGAGTCCTAACGCAGGATAAAGGGGGGGAGGGTCCAACTATATATCCCCATTCAAATGCATTGATCGTCAAAAAAAGGGGGATTCCAATCACCGGAACCCCCTCCTGGATCCGCCACTGTAGGTCATCGTACGGCCTTCAACAATGAGCAAAGCCCATACCGCATAGTCAGCTATAAAAGGGCCCGAAATCACAAATGTAAAACAATTCAAACGAGACAACTAAGGTCCTGTAATAGAGGCCGTCCGGGATACAGGTCAGAGAAATTATGACCGCAACCTGCAAAGGGGCAGAAATTTAGCCTTTAGTACAACGTTCCACCTACGAACCCCTCTCCTAGCGCAGAGAGAGCGTGGTACCCTCTTTACAGGAGTGCTTTAACATTTAGAACAGACATTCACGTTCTATATTGGAAAACTTGGACTGATCATGTATGAGCATTTACCAATTCAGTTTTTTTCTTTTTTAAAAAAATGTACATGTACAAAATTCAGGTCAAAAAGGTCACCGTTAGTTAGTTTATAATCGTTTTTGAAGAAATTTATGCTAGACAAGTAGTTAATGATAAAGTCTTTTAGATAAAAATCATGGCAAAAAAATGATTAAAACTTATAAGTATTTTAAATCAACGAAAAAAATATCCGAAATCTGAATAAGTACGGTGTAAAGCTTTATTTTGACTATAAATCTTAAATAAATGTTTATAAACCACTGAGACAAGAATACGTGTAAAATGGTATTTGAAGCAGTTTTATTTATTTGACATCATGTCTCTATAAAAAATGCATATCACTGTCAAGTTGGGCATCACTGCGTGAGCTACAAGAACATAGAATGTCAGTTTAATAATCACATATAGATATAATATACGGGTAATCGAGACTACGGATTTATACGCAGTAAAGCGTGGTTAAAGGCACACTCAGAAAATGCCATAACATTACTTCGGATGACCTACTCAAGATCATCCGAGTAAAAATTAAATGTGAAGAAGAGAGGCGGATGATAACAAAAGGGATATTCAAACTCATAAGTCGAAAACGAACTGACAATGCCATGACAAAAAAGAAAACGACTAAAAGACAATCAACAGCACACAAAACACAACATACGACATACAACATATAAAACTAAAGACAGAGTATTAAACACGAACATCATAGATATTAAGAAACAACAACATTAATATACACTTTTTAAACAAAATTATGCAGCAAAAATGATCCAAAACGTTCTGTTATCTTCCTCTTTTTTTTAAACAAACTTATTTTAGGGGTTTCCCTTACTTCACCACTCTCTACCTTACTGAACCTAGGTATGAATGAGAATCGCCACTCTCTAGGCAGAGTACCAAGGTATGAGTGGAAATCACCAATCTCTACCTCACTGAACCAACCTAGACTAGTAATTTAGCAAAGAAGTGACGTTTCAAACAATAAACAAAAATGAAAAACTAGGATATGAATGAGATTCTCCATCAAAAACCAACAGAAACATCAAAATTGGAATAAAAAGATATTTTAGAGATAATAAGCCTCAAATGGGCCATCAGTAAATTTAAGGCGACAGTATGTTACCGCTGTTAAAATCTAGTAAATCGATTTGAAGAGAAAATTTAAGATAACAAACAAACACTGGAGAAATCGCTTGAACTCCACCGAAAAGGAGCGAGACCGGGTGTGTCGACAGGGTTAGCGCCTCCTGAGCTATGTGTACTCAAATAGCATTCAACAAGACAATCGTGAATGTTTGATGTCAAGAAGAAGAGAAAACAATGCAGCTAACATTGGCATGAATCATAAAAAATCATCAACAATTATAATCCCGATATACTTAGATCAAAATAGGCGCTACTTCTATGCTTTGTTGTTTTGGGGAATATATTAATTGAAAACTATGCTATTCACCACCATCGAATAGAAAACAAGGTTTATGATTCTTGGGATTAATACATTTAATAATATCATCTATTAGTCCCCGACAATTCCAACCATCCAATCAGTTTTATACTTTTTACCTTTTATCCAGTCTAGCTGGTATATATCTTAATTTTTTATATTGAAGATTCTGCTATAGAGTGTGCACATATAAAAGGGAGTATATTCTTACCACACAAGTTTTAATAGATCTACTTTCTCCAGGAACCCTAGAAGCCAAATAATTGAATAGTACCGAAAGTTAGGAGTGTGCACACGATTTTATAATTTTGCATGGAGTCATGCAATTTCTTCCGTTATTCTTATTTGATTTTTGTCGAGCCTGCGACATCTATGTCGTGAAAGCGAGACATAGCGATCCTATATTCCGTCGGCGGCGTCAACATTTAGGTTCAGTCTGTGGTTAAGTTTTTTTTAGGTATCAATAACTTTGTCAAACCTTCATGGATTTTTTGAAAATTTAGACAGAAGCTTGTTTATGACCAAAATACAGTATCCAGAGCAAAATTTCCGTATTTTACGTATAAATGGACTTAGTTTTTTACAGTTAACATTCAGATTCAATCTGAGTTTAAAGTTTTTCAGTCATCAATTACTTTGTCAAACCTTCATGGAAATTTATGAAATTTTGACAAAAGCTTGTTAATGACTAAAATACAGTATCCAGAGCAAAATTTTGATCCCTTATTTTACTGATAAATGGACTTTGTTTTTTTTGTTTTTTTACAGTTAACAAGTAGATACAGTCTGGGGTTAAAGTTTGTTACACATCAATCACTTTGTCAAACCTTCATGGAATTTTATGAAACTATGGCAGAAGCTTTTTTATGATTAAGAGATAATTTCAGAAGCAAACTTTTGATAAATTTGCAAACCTTCATGGATTATTCTGAAACTTGGACAGAAGCTAATCTTCAAGACCAAGCAATAGCATCGAAAGAAAATTCTGATTTTTTAAAAAATTCTGTATTTTATTGATAAATGGACTCAATTTTTAAGTCAACTTTACACTTTAACGCAAACAGCAGCAAAAGCATGCGAAAAACAGGGTTCCGTGGAACCCCTTGCGAATTTTTATATTCAAAATGGATTTGCAGATTTGAACATCGTAAACTATTGTCGACTCTTACTTTATTATTTATCCTTTCTAATCACTCCTTATGTATACTTTGAAATGAATAAAAAATGTAGCAGCAAAGGGTTGTAACCAAGATTCAACATAACAGCGAACAGAGAATGGAAATGAAAAAAGAAGTATAAGTTAAATGATCATTATTGAGTGGTAAGTTAATAAAATGATGTTCAGTTAATACATATAGTTTTATCATATCGACTTCGAACTCCGTCCTAAGTTGATAAACCGTTTCATTTGATCGATCGTCAGAAGTGAATATACTTCCATGAGTCAATAAAAACATCAACAGGCTTTAATTGTATAATATTAAATGATATACTAGCTTTACCGTATATTGACGCAGCTATGAAAATAACGTATCCTATCATCATCACTTTCTTCTCAGTTGTCGCAATAAACATTCAGAAACACTTGACAACCAAATACTTCATATCTGTATTACGTAATGTGTTTGCCTCAACGGAGTGTACTTAGCGTCATTGGGGTATATACAAAGGAGATTTTGCGTAGTTTAGAAAATATTTCGAAAGTTTGAAACACATTAATTAAAATTCAAAATACATTGAACACAAATTTCAAAACAGGAAAGACCAAAACAAACAGAGAAAAAAAAGATAAAAACCATGTAATAATTGGTCGGGATGTTAAAATACAGATTTATACAAATAACACTTGGGAACCGGTATATATATAAATGCTATATGACGTCGAATACATGATATTGTTGCGTGAGTGTTATAAAGCCAAATATGATTAATGTTTTATTTCGCATTTCCTATGTTTGATCTGCGATACTATGACCCGACAATTGTTCGTTCAAAGTTCACTTTTAGGATTTTGTATATTTTTATAATTCATGCTTTTTATTATCATTCCGGGTCGTCATTGGTTTTTAATAATTCAATAGTTCAAAAGTTACTTGTATTTTACACTTAACTATAATCCTTTCATCTAAATCAATTATCAAAGATTTATATCCGTCTTTATGATAAAAGATTGTGTAACAAAGAATATAGATAAATTGACACTAAGTGATAACTGCCGAAAGCCATTCTTGATAAACTTTTACGAAACATGTTTTTAATCCGTAATCCCCGCTTTCGGCAAAACACGATTTATCATATTCGGCGTTTTACGTTTCCGCATATTGGCATTACTTTTCCGGGAAAAAAAATGACGTTTCCGCAAAGAGAAGTTTACGTTTCCGGAAAAAAATACCTTACTTTTCCGAGAAACTAGTTACTATTCCGGAAAATTATTACTTTTTCGAGAAAATAATTAAGGAGTACCTTATCTGGACCCCTGCTGTTGTTTCAATCTTATCTACACAAACTTCGTTTGTGTCGAAGTATCAATCAGCGGGTGGCCAGTTAAAGGAGTACCTTGAACTGTGTCTTTGTCCTAAATGAAACCCGCAACAACTGATTGTAGCAGCATGAAATTTTTGTAACAGCAGTATGCATTGCACATTCAATGTCAATATGATCTACCTCGGACTGGAGAGTTAGTCTTCGGGAAGTGCACACATCAATAAGTAGATCCCACATTTTGATAAAAGTGGAAGTAACGCAAACACAAGAGGAATGTAGTTACCATTTTACACCCATGTATTGAATATTTAACTGTGCCATCTATGAAAATATTAGTTATTTCATTGCATAGACGATCATAGACATTTCAAGTTGGTGAAACATAAAAATATAACAATTCCAACATCATTATCTTTCACTAAGGTGAAACTTTCATTTTTTTTTATATCTAGTATATTGTAGATATAAGATCAGAACCTTTTTTGTATAAAAATATGAAATAAATAATTTATCAAACATATATTCAAATATTAATAATTTATTACCAGGTAAATTTCCGGAAAAGTAATAAATTATACAATTTCTGGAAACGTATACTTTAAGTTTCCGGAAACGTAGTATTGGAACTTTGAAAAATTAGCGGAAATGCAATACGCCCATAATATTTGATAAAAAGATATTCTGATTGGTTCATATTCCGCATGTCAATCAGTCTTTTGAAATTGTATTTTATATATGTTTTTATGTTGTTATTCAGTTATGTTTAATGTTTAAAATATATGGATGCGAAATAAATATGTAAACTTTCCAGCGATTTGGACTTTATTTAAGATACCGCTAGTTTCCCCCGAAACTAATTAATATGACAGAGGTGACCAATAACCGGGCCATAATACACTAGAATTCACGTTATTCTCTGTGCTCTTCATTCCACTGGGCCGGAGGAGTTTCATAGCAATCCCCTGTTTATAAAGACTTAAGAATATTTGGAACCTAGGTTAAAAAAATTCACCAACAGTTCCAAAACAGTCCCTTGGTAAATGTTTTGAAATAGATAGTGTACAATAGATAACACTCTCTTATACTCGTTCATAGTACGGATATTTTTTTCGTTGATTTAAAATACTTATAAGTTTTAATCATTTTTTTGCCATGATTTTTATCTAAAAGACTTTATCATTAACTACTTGTCTAGCATAAATTTCTTCAAAAACGATTATAAACTAACTAACGGTGACCTTTTTGACCTGAATTTTGTACATGTACATTTTTTTAAAAAAGAAAAAAACTGAATTGGTAAATGCTCATACATGATCAGTCCAAGTTTTCCAATATAGAACGTGAATGTCTGTTCTAAATGTTAAAGCACTCCTGTATAGAGGGTACCACGCTCTCTCTGCGCTAGGAGAGGGGTTCGTAGGTGGAACGTTGTACTAAAGGCTAAATTTCTGCCCCTTTGCAGGTTGCGGTCATAATTTCTCTGACCTGTATCCCGGACGGCCTCTATTACAGGACCTTAGTTGTCTCGTTTGAATTGTTTTACATTTGTGATTTCGGGCCCTTTTATAGCTGACTATGCGGTATGGGCTTTGCTCATTGTTGAAGGCCGTACGATGACCTACAGTGGCGGATCCAGGAGGGGGTTCCGGTGATTGGAATCCCCCTTTTTTTGACGATCAATGCATTTGAATGGGGACATATAGTTGGACCCCCCCCCCCTTTATCCTGCGTTAGGACTCCCCTCCCTTTTTATAAATGACTGGATCCGCCCCTGACCTATAGCTATTAATTTCTGTGTCATTTGGTCTCTTGTGGAGAGTTTTCTCATTGGCAATCATACCACATCTTCTTTTCTATACTTGTTATATTTATTGTTAATTTCTGTTTGTCCTGAACATGTATGCAATATATTTACCACTAGACGATAACCAAGCAACCAATCTTCTTATATTCTAGCACACCACGGTATTCTCTTATCTCCATACTATAAAACACCATTATTCTCTATTGTTCATATTATGGCACACCACTTTTCTCTATTTTTTACATTGTAGCACACCTTTAGTCTCTATTCTTTATCTTTTGGTCCAATTTTCTTAGTTTTTTTTCCATTATTCTCATTTCTGAAACTTGTGTTTTAGTTTATGCTGTCCTTGTTATATATTCTTTCAGATATCTGATACACCTGAGACTACTATATGTGTTATAGCAGTCTCAGGATACACTTACCTTACAAAAACACACATCAAGTTACTTCTATGTAAAGAAAAATAATACAAATACGAAGACTGCAATGTAAAATAATTTCCTCAACAGCTATTACTTGCAGATCAGTGAGATCACACAATGAGCCAAACCAATTTTCATTTAAAAAATAAACTGCAAACGACAGAATGGTATCGCCTAATCCTTTTGGGAAGAACAAATTTATGAACCAACCTTCACACAATACCACTGTGCCAGTGTTACCCCGTGTCCATAGAGGAAATACGGAACTTAACCAGTCATTCATGAAACCCATCACTCTTTGAATGCATACATGGAGAAGATGGAATAGGATTTATCCCATACTACATGGTAACTTGTAAAAAAACCAACAACTCAAAAGTGTATTCTATTTCTCTAGAGGAATATCCTTATGATTGTTAACTGATTTATTGTTTCAGATCTCCATCATTTCTACTATAATTTTAATATCCACCATGTATTAGTATGCAAGAAAGGACAGCTTCACAAGAACAATATCTTCTCTTGTGAACCTATATATAAAAATAAGGAGATATGGTATGATTGTTAGAAAGGCAACAACCCACCTGAATTAAAATGACGTGGATATAAGCAAATATAGTCACTGTACGGCCTTCAATATTGATAAACTCCATACCGTATAGTCAACTATAAAAGGGCGTGACATAAAAAATGTGAATTCAAACGAGAAAACTAACTGTTTAATTGTTTATATGATTTTTAATTTGTTAATACAAATCTTAATGCTCTGACATGTCTGACAACAATGTTGTTCTTGATTTTTGTTTTATAGACTTAATATACGTCTGTGTACCTTTTTTTGGCTTTGTGGTTGCTGTCAAAATAATGTTTACCAAACATTCTTGGTACTGTGATTTATTTATACTGATTGATATTTCAGTATTTTAAAAAAAATTCTTTGAATCTTATTCTTATAAAATTGAAGCTGTTTAAGCATGATACAATGAGTATCCTGAACATTATATTTTTTTAATTCTTGACATTTATCACATAAAATCTGTGTCCAGAAATCATCATTGGTTTGTCTACAAAAGAAAATAAATATCAATTTAAAATCATATCAATTTTGGTCACCAACATAGCATATATATGAAAAAAAATTTATTGTTTGAGAAAAAAACATCATACAAATATATTGTATAAATTAGTGTCCAGGGACAAGCTGAATCCCACCTCCGGAAGGGTGATTTTCTCATTGCATTGAAGACCAATTGGAGGCATTGGGCTGTTTCCTGCGCTTTGGTCGGGTTGGTGTCCCTTTGACACAGTCCCTGTTTCTATTCTCTATCCAAACCATGCATGCGTTTTTCTCATTGCTGAAGGCCATACAGTTGCCTATAATTGCTCACATCCACTTTATTAGAACTTGGGTGGATAGTTGTCTCATTAGCATTCATACCGCATCTCCTTATTTTGCACAACAACTTGTCCCATTTCTAATCTGTATTGTTTAAAAAGTGCATATTTTTTTTTTTTTAAATCGAGTATAGAACATTTTGTCCGTTTGGTGTATATACAAAAAGGCATCTTCTAGAAACACTTTGTCTGTTATTCTTCTACTTAGGGTTTTGGATTGCGTTCCCTCCTTTGAATATGTACATCACTGTGAATCTCTCCTCTCCCCCTATTGCAAACTCCCTTATACAGATAGATACAACAATCTAATCTTGGATGAAGGTCATATTACGGCGTCATAGCCCCTTTTCATCGAATATTTATAAAGTTAAAGATACTATATATCAACCCCAAATTGTATTTATAGAATGTACGACTATTCGAGTGGTCCCAGTCAATACAAAATTTGTCATTTAATTGTATAACTATTAACTCTTTTGCATAGCA